GAATAAATTGCAATAGATAGGCGTTGAAACTCAGAAGAAGGCTTATTTTACTAATATCAATGAAAAGTAAACAGGATATAATGTGGATCTATTGTTCAAGAGGTAAATCGTCTCTCCACAAATCCTAGATGCCGCTAGAAATGCTGCTAGAAAAGAAAAAAACTGTAGCCAAATAAAACATAAAATAACCTCTTATAAAAACTCTCCCAGCTCCCTTACAAACTTTCCCTCTAAACTTAATTTTTCTTCTAGTGTACGTGATTATCACCTCAGTGGGCCCCACATTGGGGCTGAAATCTTTTGTGGTTGCATTAGGATTTTTCGTCTATTCCTGTCGAATTGGTTGACACCTGGACATCTAGGGTGAGCCGATCGATTGGATCTCGATCGATCCTGCCTGGACCGATGGACTCACAGGCGTCAAACTAAACATATATAGAATTTTGGTGCTTTAAACCTATGCATAAAAAGGTGAATTTCACTTTTAAAAAGTTGTGATGCTAAGGATTTGAGTGCTATGCGTATAAATATGAAAGTTTAGGTGTAAACATATGCAAATACATAAGCACTCCGTGCTATGTATGAAAATGCCCCTAATTTAATATGCTTAATTTTTAACCTGAAACTAATATATGAAAATTCTATTAATTCAGTAGGTTTCAATTAACAAGCAAGATAAACCTGAGGAAATTTTTTACTTAGCTTTTTTGACAGTTCAAGAAGATATTTTTGTGCCACAATGCCAGAGATAGAAACAAAGCATCTCACCATTGTGTATAGATAGTTTTACAAGAAAGTTTTATTTTAAAAGATGTAAATGATAGTCATTCTCTTTCTGCTTTTATTAGAGAACATAGGGCTCATTTTGTACATGCATGATAGCATATTTTTTGTCTTTTTGATTTAATCAGTGCTATATGCAACCTTTAAAAAAATTATAATAATAATAATGATAAAAAAATAAAAAAAAACAAGCAGATGAAAACATAAGCCTTGTGTAGAGAAAATAGAATTTCCTTTATTGACAAAAGAAAGTCATAAATGTGAAGTAGGACTACAATGTTTCAGTAGTTGGAAGCCTTCATAAATCCTGACTAAAAGTAGACAAAAAACAACATTTCCTACTGAAGTGCATCGACTAAAGCCATCAAGGGTTTGTGTGTGATTACTTTTGTGTTTCTTTCATTTTTTTTTTACTTTTATTTTACAAATTATCCTTTTAGTATAATTTTTACATGTTTTTATTTTTTGTTTTCAAAAATAAATTAGCTTATTTTTTAAAAAACTCAGTATCTGTTTTTAAAAACAATTAAATATGTTATAACATACGAACAATATTTTATATCAAGTAAACGCATAAACAAAATTTAAAAAAAAAATGAAAAAACAAAATACAAGAATAAAAAGTGATCCCAAATGGCACATAAGCTAATAGTAAGAAAAGAAATTGAAGATTTAATGACAACAATTCTTTGGAAATTCAGTTTACTCCACTTAACAAACAAAGTAAATTCCAACAATTACGTAATATGAAAAAAACGAGCAATCCCAAATTTGATTATCATCAAACAGGAATAAAAACATAACCTGCAAAATAGTCCGGTTTTACCGAACTTAGTTTGTAGTAAATAAGCGTTAAGAAAATAAACAAATGGAGCATATCATCCTATTTCAGTACGCACCTTAGCTTTGAAGATGTAATGGAGAGGTGATGTTGAGCCCTTTACATGACGACATACTACATAAAAGTAAGCAATTCTTCTGCACCACTATCTTATTAAATGCTAAAGTAAGAGAAGAAATGAATAAACCAGCCCAAATATACAGAATAGACCAGGGATGTCTTATTGTTTATTCTCAAATCCAGCACTGAAACAATTTCTTAGGAAAACCATATCAGTGAGTGGGGGGGGTGTGTGTAATGTCTAGCACCTAAACTTTCCTTTTTTACCAATTTCTTAGGAAAACCATATCAGTGAGTGGGGGGTGTGTGTGTCTAGCACCTAAACTTTCCTTTTTTACAATTATACCACCCAAACCTTTCACATCACATCAAAAGTATCACTATTTTACCTTTTCAAAAGTGAAATACACCTTTTAAAGTATAGGCAAGATTTCTCATAGGTAAAAATTGGCATTTAAGTGTTAAATATGTAAATACATAAGAATCGAGTGGTATGTATGTAAATCTTCCAAAAAAAATTCCTAAAATGAGGAAACACTCTTTATGAGGTTAAAAGGCTATCCGTGCTGTAAACCTCGTCAGATTTTTACAAGAACCCCCTACATATTGAAGGAACTCAACTATCAGAATAATAAAAAAAATCAACCCATAGCAATCCTTCTTCAAGTTATTTGCACTGGTGGAACACAATATAAACGGTGTTTATTCACAGAAACGGCATTCATATTTAGCGCATTTCACACTTTACAGCTGATAGAATTCAGCGAAACCCGTACAAGTTGTAGAAGCCTTTCCACATTATTGAAATTAAAATCGAGAACTTCTCTGATCAAGAACAAACTTGCGACCCTATCTTCGTCTAGGTCAATACTAGCAGCCGCAAGAGCATTCCTTGATTTGTTTGTGGCTTCAAAAGCGCAATTTAGGTAATTTGTCTGCAAAAATTCAAATGTAAGAGAGCAAATAGGTCATTTTTTAAATATATACAAACGGTAACCAAATGAAACATACCATAAACAAATATACTGCTTTGAACAAAAAAAAGCAAATAGTAGGACCACAAAAATATCATAACAAAGAATATATAGTTTCAGTAACTTCCAGTACACTTAACATACTAGGATATCCATATTTATTTCCATACTAAACCTTATCTTGAATGTAATTAATAAATTCTTTAAGGAAAATGCAGCTTTACTAACCAACCATTTTAAGGGATATAAAAGATACAAAGCTAAAGATACAGTTTTAAAAAAAGCGAACTATTCTACAGATTTTCAAGAGTTGCACTTCTTTAAGGGACAAAAATGAAAGAAAGGAAGCCCATCATAAGATAATAGATTTCCAAATCAATAGCATGTTTGCTTGAACTTTTTTAAGAGAAGAAAATGAAAGAAAGGAAGTCGGTCACAACATCACCATGTGAAATTATTAGGGAAACTAGACAACTAAACAACGAGCTAGCTTTACTCATTTTTTACTAATGTTTCGATATTTTGCTAGAACTATAATTGCATGAGATAGTGCAAATACTAGATCAGGGAAACCAAAAAAGAGTCGTACTATCAAAGCATTAAAATAGCATATAGTTAGTGATACGGTCAGATGGTCTTTTAACAAGATTTAAAAATATTATATCAGAAATCTAGGTGAACTCCTTCATTAAATTGAAATGTATGTTTCGAATCAAAACAATGTGTGGGTTTCAATTTAGAAAAACAAAAAAATCATTAAATTATGAAAAATTACACAGCACAAGTTTTATTAAGAAAACATAACCTTACTCCATAAAAGATACAATATAAGAAAGTACACATAATTCCCAAAACTGAATAAAAGTTGAGTTCACAAAACATAAAACTTAGAAACCTATAATAGATTTAGAGTCTAGATGAAGTATCTTATGCCCTAAAATCAACATCAACATTATCACCGACTGGGGCATGACTCATACCAGGCAGCAGCGAAGGCAGGATTTCTACCCAAGATGGACCCGGGGTCGAGATTTTCCCTCCTGCAAGGAGCAGACAGGACCTTTGGCTTTGAACTTTGCTTTATTCGAATGAGAATTAAGATTTTTTTATTCACCTAAGTATAAATGTATTGTCTAATACCTGTTTTGGAACTTTGGTTTTGATTTTATGCATTTTGAGATTATCTCTGAATTTCAGCTCTCAAGGAAAATTGTATCCTCTTCCTCTTATAACTAGTATGCCTGCAGCTTCTTCGGGAATAGATGGTGCATCCTTCTCAACATCCACAACCTCCGATATCATCACCAGCCTCCTTCCCCTAGCTGCTTTCTTTGAGGACAGTAGATGCTATCCCCAAATTGCTTCCAAATCTTATTTCATTTTCAGTTTTTCCCTTTCTTATCATCTTCTAAACACCCTCACCTCACTTATTTATCCTTAAACACCATATATCTAACAAGTCTTTCATATTCCCATCAGCCTGACGTGAACCATCACATCCATCTTCTTCCTCATTTAGCAACATTGCTTTCTTCATTTTTGCATCAAAATTCTTATAATAAGTACACTCATAATAAGGAAATATGAAATAATAAATGAATGTACATTTCATAATGAATATGCTTCACCAAACTTCCGAAGTATTTGTTGTTTAACCTCATTTGAGTTTGATGAATCGTTGTGAAGTTCCATTAACTCCTATTATATTAGAAACATAAAAGAACATAACCTTCATTATCATCTAATCCAACATAACTTTTAAGCTTCTCATCTTAGTTGATAACCCATTTATCTTCTGATGGCGAATCAATCAAAAATAAAAAGAGCATATTCTTTACGTGATGTTAAACTGAAGTGTCCATCTTTTAATTCCTCGTTGTACATGACATAAATTAATTTTTTCATCCTAATCACAACCAAATGATTTCTTCTAATTATATGTAGTTGGTTGAATATGCTTTAATTTTGTTTACATGTAAAATTTGAATTATTAAATCTTCGGGCTAGGACTACAAAAGCTTTTAATTCTAATGTTTTATCTTATATTAAAACTCCCATTTGTGCCTACGCATTTTTTAAATATTGAACCATCTTACCAGTAAAATTCACAACTTCAATATTCATGTTCGAAGTATTGCCTGCTTGGAAATTTCAATCCATGACCATAATTCGTAATGGAGCATGTCATTCTATGAAAAAATGAACTCCTATCAACATTAAAAGGAATCACATTTTCATAAGAAAAACTCCTAATAACCCATACAAACTCGATTCTAATATTATTTATAAAATATTAGTGGTAATACTGTGACTTTATCTTTAAAATCATGACCCAAATATTCAATAAATTGCTCATAGAGCCTTAAATTCCTCTAGTGAAGAGGTTCTATTAGTACCGCTAGTAGAATCAAAACCGGAGGAACCAAAGTAAGCTCCATTCTAAATCATTTCATCCATATTTTTTTGGTATTAATGTATTGTCCTTCAAATAAATTGATGTCTCTCATTTAACTTCATTTGGAAATACCACAAACAATTACACATTCTTATAAGTATAAGCAAGAAGATACTTTGGTCTTTTAACACCTAGTATAATAATTTTGCTGCCAAAATTACAATTAATATATATGAAGTCTTTTTCTACCTTATTTACGTCTAATTCAACATCAGTCACATACTTAGTATTAATATATTTTCTCTTGAGATCTACTTTCACCATTATAGTTTACAAAGATCTAGTAGAGCTTTAAGAAATTATAATTGATTACAAAATCTTTAAATAAAATACTCTAAACAAAAAAAAAAAAGCTTTATTGCACAATCACTCTCTCAGTCAAGTATCAAAATCACATTTATTTGTATACTGACGGCTGTGAAATCTCACTACAGGACAATGGTCAGTTGTTGAGTAAAAGGACAGTGAAGGAAGATGACAAAGGGCAACAAATGGAGATGGCAAAAGGTGCAAACGGAGGTGGCAAAGAGCAAGGAACAGCGATGAACAAATGGCATAACTGTCATGGATTGGTGATTAACCAAAAAAGAATAGTCATGATGGTTGTGACTCAGCTTGGGCACTACGTGCGGAAACTAGTATTGAGAGAGTAAGGAAGGAACAGCGATGAACAAATGGCATAACTGTCATGGTGATTAACCAAAAAAGAAGAGTCATGAGGGTTGTGACTCAGCTTGGGCACTACATGCGGAAACTAGTATTGAGAGAGTAAGGACCGTATCTTCAAGTGTTTTAATTAAAGAAACAATTAAGTTGTGTTTTATTTTTTATAGAATTTTATTAAATCCTGCAATCTCATAACCTAAAAATTTCTATTAAAAGCCCAATTAAAATATTTCTAAGAACCTATAATAGTCGGAATTCAAAACCCATGCCTCTGTGGGTTTTGAAACTATTTGAAACTTCAAGGTTCAAAACCCATGCCAAGATTAATTAAAGCATGAGTTTTGAAAGATGGAGGAAAAAATTAAAGCTTAAAATATTTTTGCTAGATTTATAAAAAATTGGAAGACTATGCTAAAAAAAAATTTGAAAGAAGATATATCAAAACTAAACACCCCCACATAATCGCTATGAGTTCACTCATTTTTTTGCTTGGGTTAAAATTACAAAAAGACTATGCTAAAAAAAAATTTGAAAGAAGATATAGCAAAACTAAACACCCCCACATAATCGCAATGAGTTCACTCATTTTTTTGCTTGGGTAAAATTTACAAAAGACTATGCCTTTCAAATGAAAAACTAGGCCTATAAACAGGTTTCACTCAGTTTTTGCTACTGTAAATTTACAAGAGACTTCAAATAAAAAAAGTTTAGTGCTACCAATTGAGTGAGCATTCATATTACATCAGCCACCAATAACAAGGAATATTTAGATGGTTTGTTGAGTACACAAACCTCCAAGTGGTGCAACACCTCTTGTGTTGCTTTGCACTCATGATAACTCTTAAAAATATGTTCTATTAAAGCTTCTGAGTTTTATAAGACGAAAGCAGGTTTTTTTTGTTCAAATATCCATGCCAAAGAGAATGTTAGAGTAGTAAAGCACTTACATAAGTGAGCAGCCGCTTAACATGGGGACGGTTTCGAGCTGCGATAACAAAGCTGGAAGCAAGTTGAGGAGACCTAGTAGCCCTCCTTGAAGCAGCCTTTTCAAGAACTTCTTGATTATTTGGATTATCAACATCCGAAGTAGATGTAGTTGGCTCACCTATAATACCTACGAGTAGAAACAACAAGCCACAGAAGTGTCAATTCTGAAGCAAGAATCAATATTAACATAATGATGAAACCAAGAATGCAGGCATGAAGGAAAAAATGGTAAAAGAGTAATGTTTGTTAGCAACAATCCAATGAATAAACAAGATTCTTAAAAGGTACACATACAACAGAATAACATAAGATCGTCCCTTTCCAGGAAATAGTAAAACAGAATGGATAAATTGAGAAAACAATATAAGAGAGAAGTAGTAGAGTAGCACCTATAGTAGATAAAATGTTGCAACTGCAGCAGGTATTTGGACAAGATGGAAGATAGAAGGGCACCAAAAGATATGAGAAAAAACTTTAATACCTCTGGCATCACCAAATAAAAATGAATAGAAAATAATGCTTCGTAAAGCCGACACCAAATAGCAGCCTAATGATGAAGAGTTATAAAAAATCAAATGATGGTCGGGCTTCACCTTAATTACTAATGCAATAGCAAATTCACGTAAGAATATCAGAAAAAAAAAAGGATGAATATCCGAATGAAAATCTCAGCAGGTAAAGATTAAATATGATAGCAAATAGCACTCAATCTGAGTATACTTTAACAGATACGGTATGATACATTGTAACAACCTGGGAGTGCCGCATCTAATGCAGCTTGAAGCTCATGTCTATCTTTGCTAGCACTGGGATGCTTGAAGTAAGCAACCTTCATATAGGCCACTTCCGCACATTTGTAAGCCAAGGCAGCAGCGGCCATTTCTTTCAAATTTTCGTACTCATGAGCACAAAACCTATCAATACACGGAAATAATAGAATATTACAGAAATTAGAATTGCAAGGAAAGAATGCAAAACTTAAAAGAATTTTTACGGAACGTGAGACCAGTATCATTGCTTAAAGAGTTAATTTGTTACTCTAGTGCAACAATCAGGATTGATTCTCCAATTCAAAAGTCTAAGAAACAGGTAAACAAAATTCTAGAAAGTTAAAAAGGCTTAAATAAATATTTTTAAAACAGCTAAAAAAACTCTATCCATCTACGATTTAACTTAACTTGTAACCAAATAGATCCATAAAAAATGAGAAAGTAGAAAGAAATTTTAATCTGTCACTGTAAATGTGGCAATCAGGATTGATTCTCCTATTCAGGGGTCTAAGAAACAAGAAAATGAAATTCTAGTTAAGTTAAACTTTAAATTCATGCAAGTTAAAAAGAATGCTAAAATATCTTTAAAACAAGAAAAAAAACTCTATCCGTTTACAATTTTAACTTTAAAGTCAAAACTCAATAAAATTATCCAAAAATAGGGAGTACAGAGCAAACAAACTGGAGGTGTCCATAAGATCAAGTAAATCGGAAACCATAAATCTACAGGACAAATGAAGCAATCAGACACGTTGATATAATTTAATTAAGAGAACCATGAAAACAAGTGTCTCGCCCTAAACGATACAAAAAAATAAAGATTAAATTGTTATTGTAAATAATTAAGTTAAAGGAGCGGTATCATGTGCATGCTACAAACAGAACCATGATATATACTCCTTGCTGGAGAAATGCCAGATTAACAATTTCCCATTGATAATAAGCTCTACAAAAGAAAAAAAAAATGTCGATAATTTCCTAACATAGAAGAGTAAAGCCCTCAGTGCTGCTTTACCTTTTCAAGAAAACAAGTTAAAAAGAGACGCTGCTTTGTTCCAAAATAATTTCAACTACAAGACCAGCCAAACAGTGACGCAGCAGCAACAAAATAGCTACCTAGTTGACGATTAAAGCTGTGTTCATCCAGTGATGCGGGAGCTTCCCCAGATCGCGGCAAACACATAACTGTAGCAGCAATAGTAATCGCGGTCCAAACCCTTCTCCCCCTTTTACTTTCCCTTTCCCTCCTAATATTTTTTTCCTTGCCCATGAAATCCCCAATCATAAATCCTTGCCTTTTATACAACTTTTTTATTCTATTTCCAAATTGAAAACATTGTCTAATTCAAGTCCTGATCCCTCTTATACATAGGGGTTGTTTTTGCTTAGGAAGGGGGGTTTTTTATGATTGTTGATTTCAGTTATAGCCCTAGTGGCGTTCTTCCCCTCCGGGGGTTGTACCCGACGACGAGAAGGTGCTCCGACTGTAACTCGTCCGAGGTGGTGACCGTCTCCAAGGGTTTGGCTGGTGCTCCGGATGTAGCTCGACCCCCATGAGACATTTTATCTTTTTGCAACCCTTCGGTCCTCTTCCTACTGCTGGCCGCCCCGTCCTATGACCGACCAACTTGCTGCCCTCACTGCCATATTCCCTCCAGCCCTTCCAGAACCTGCCATAAACCCTCACAGCCAATCTGAACCTCACCACAACCCTCCCAGGCCTTCCCCTATCCTACTGTAACCGTTTCCGGCTCTTCTCAACGCTACAGCAGCCTATCCCATGCAGCCCAACAGCTGTCGCAGCCCTCCATCCGATCTACTTGCTACCGTAACCATTATTGGAGTCTGTGTTATGTCTTTATGTTTGTGTTATTGTTTTGTTGTCGTTATTTCATGTTTTCAAGTGTCATGTCTGTAATATTTTCAATTTCAACCATAATATTTGTTTTTCGTTGTGATTTGAGTTTCTTTCAGTATCATTTGGTATCAAAGCTAGCCCAACCCTAGTCATGTCCTAGGGTTCCTAGCATCTACCCCTACCCAAGCCACCCTCACCAAAAATTTTCTGCCCTAGAAGCTTTGACAAATGAAGTCGAAGCTCCCCCAACCCTGGTAGAATGACACAAGAGCTTCCACGAATCGCGACGCTGTAGCTGCTACAGTATCGCAGATGCGTAGTAATTGCGGTCCAAAACCTTCTCCCCCACCTCCTTTTTTTTCCTTTCGCTCCTAATATCTCTTTCCTTTTTATGAAATCCCCTATTCTAAATCCTTGTCTATTATATTACTTTTTTTTATTCTATTTATTAATTGAAAGCATTGCCCAATTTAAGTCTTAATCCTCTTATATATAAAGGCTGTTTTTGCTTAGGAAGGAAGGTTTTAGATGATTATTGATTTCAATTATTGCCATTGAGGCGTTCTTCCCCTATGGGATTGTGCCCGACGGAGAGAATGTGCTCCGCCTGTAACTCATACAAGATGGTAACTGTCTCAAGGGTTTGGATGGTGCTCTGTCTGTAGCTTGACCCCGATGAGGCATTTTATCTTTTTGCAACCCTCTCACCCTCTTCCTTCTGCTGGTTGCCCCATCCTACTACTGGCCAACTTGTTGTTCTCACTGTCGAACTCCCTCCAACCCTTCCAAAACCTGCCATAAATCCACCCAACCAATACTACTACCAAGCCAAAGTTTCTTCTCCCTTCTTTTCTTTTTCTTCTTTCCTTCCTTTTTCCGCTCTCTTCTTTTTATTCGACAATCCTTCTTGTCTCTTTTTCTTTTTCCCCAATCTCCTTGTCTCCTTCTCATCCAAGCCATAAGCTACACCCCTCAGGAGAAACGTACCGTACCCCACCCGGGATGCGATACATAGTGAAATCCGCTGTCAGCAACAACAATTGACAAAACTCGATTGAAGGGACACAAAGCGAAGTCACCATCGATTCTGACCTAGAGAGTCGACAAAAAGATAGGGACGACGATCTAAATCCATTCCTCAGGGAAGATAACAACGACGAAGAATACCGTCCACGCCGTTTTGGCATCCAATACCAGAGGCGACCACAAGAAGAACCTAGAGGCCAGTCGGACTTTGGCAATAAAATAGTTCTCCCCGAATTTGACAAAAGTATGGATCCAGATGAATTCATTGACTGGTTGTGAGCGGTCAAATGGACTTTCAAATACAAGGAGATACCTGAAGATAAGCGGGTCAAACTAGCAACTACTAAATTGAAAAAACACGCCTCGTTATGGTGGGACAACCTGCAACGACAACGAAAAAGGGACGATAGTGACAAAATCACTAAGAATAACAAAATGAAGAAAGCCTTGCTATAAAAATACCTAATCCCACAGTACCGAAAAGGTATATTTTTGAAGCTCCACAACCAACAACAAAGAGAGATGTCTGTAGAGGAATTCACAGCCAAATTCGATCAGTAACAAATGAAATGTGAGTTGGTCGAACAAGAGGAGCACACAATCACCTGCTACCTCGGAGGCTTGAAGCTAGCCATTAACAATGTCGTGCAACTGCAGACCTATTATTCGTTAGGTGACGTTCAAACCTTGGTCTTAAAAGTAGAAAAGTAACAGAAGCAGGCCAGACCACAGTCCTCCTTCCGACATCAGTCCTACTACAAGCCAGCACCGACAGTTACAACTACAGACAAAGGTGTGGCAGGAACGGGGAAACTAGCATCCAGGAATGCAAAAATTGATCCAAGCAGTAAGAAGCTCGAGAAGAGTAGCTCATCTGGGCCAATGCCAGCCAAAAATTGTTTCAGGTGACACGGGTATGGCCACATCGCATCCAATTGTCCTACTATTTGAATTGTTTCTTTTATAGATCAAAGCGTCGTTGAGGAAAGCGAAAACGAGGAGTCAGAGGAAAATTTCGAAGATGCACGCTTATGTTCCTCGAAAACGAAGATCAATTATTAGCCATATAACGAGTTTTATATTCAGAACCAACATGTGATCAATCATGGCTACGACTCATCATCTTTCACACAAAGTGTAATGTAAAAGGCAAAGTTTGCAGCAAGATAATCGACAGTGGCAGTTGTGAAAATGCCCTATCTAAACTGATGGTGATAAAGCTAGAATTACCCACAAAAAAATATCACCAATCTTATGCTCTCACTTGAGAAATGAAATATGTGTGGATCAACAGTGTCTTGTTGAGTTCTCGATAGGCAATCAATTAAAGGAACAAGTATGGTGTGACGTCGATCCCATGGACACATGCCATATTCTCCTAGGACGATCTTGGCAATAGGACTACAAAGCTCAATATGATGGCTTTAAAAATACACACTCATTCAAGAAAGATGACAAACGCATCGTATTACTACCAAGTAAAGACACACGAGGAATAAATGACA